GACTCAGGATTGGCCCATGCTCGCTGAGAGTTTTTCTACATAAGGGACAGCCTCGATGGGATACCAGACAGATACGATTTTTGTAGTGAAGCGTACGCATAGTAAACGTTAAACCGAGATCTCGAAAGCGAACATGAGGCCGAGTCCTCACATATATCACCTTATTGACGCGATCAAGTTCATGTAAATATTTTCTTGTCACATTAAGAATAAACATTTTTTTTTTAAATTAATATGTAGAGTGACCTTCCCCGTATATACGACCCATATACATATATATATATATATATATATATATATATATATACCTATATATATATTAATAATTGAATAGTGAATTATGGAATTTATTTTATTAAAGTATAAAAATAATGTTAAATATCGCACTCACTACATGATACAGTCGGAAGAATGTGCATATTGTCTGTTCCACAGGAGAATGTTCTCGATTTTTGCTCATCGCAGTCTTTGCTAGAGATCCCTCACTGGCAGTAAACGGACAATAATGTCCCATAAGAAGCAATGGTGGCAGTGTGTGATGCGGCAGTTGGTGATGTAACTATTGATTTTATGGTCTTACATTACATTAATTCGCGATAGTAACGTGGCGAATGTTAATTCCTCAACCACACTCTGATGATATAGTAACGTGGCAAATGTTAACTCTTGAACCATGCTGAATATTATGTAAAACTAGTTAATTTCTGTATTATTATATATCAAATATCTTAATATAATAAGATAACTTTCTATTAAAATACTATTGATGTGTGCATTCGCTATTATATATACAACATGCAGAGAACGAAATTCTTTTGTAGAGGATATTATACAAAATTTAATATTTTATTCTAAATTGTAAAAAAAATTAATGATTTTTGTAATCCGCAGTCATGCGACTGCGAAATATAATAACATTACGATGTGTTGTAATTTAAGAAATGAATTAGACTATTGTCCTGTATTTATTTAAAGAAATATATTCTATCACAACGTGAATTTCTAAAACTACTGATGTATGAATAACACATAACACGTTTCAACTGTTGCTAAAAAATTCATCTAGTGTTCATTGCATCGCCAATAGCATTGATAGATATGACCCCGAAGCATTCATAATCTAGAAGAATATTGTATTTTTGCATTCAAGAATTTCTAATATTGTAAAAAATTTTTTTTTTCTGAAATGAAATTTCTATATATAAATCTTACACTTGTAAAAGTTTTTAACGATAATTCCATCATCTTTCCAGCTGTAAGCGTTAGTTGTTTTTGTGATCGTAATATGATAAATAACAGGACATGACTGTTTTCAGCTTTCATATCATACCATGCAGAATCGTACGCCGCAAAACTAATTTCTTTACTCTATAAGGATAATTGAAATTTTTATGTTAAGTTTAGTTTTTTGAAATATCTTTCTTAATTCAAAATAAAATACACTATTACTAATTATTATTAACATTAATATGTTATGATTAATATTAATATTTTATTAATTTTATTGCTAACCTTGTTTTTTACATGTTCTCCAGCATAACAGAATATATAGGCTTCGAGGTTTGTTATAATGTAAAAAAAAACAGATTTCACTATTTGTTGTGTTGCGTTAACGCTGCCAATTGCCTGCGATATTGCGCAACAAAAGCATTTAAAAAATTATTAAATAAAAATTGATAATTATTTTAATATACTGATGCTAAAAGTTTACATGAATGATACTACTTAGTGTCATTTGCAATTATAATAAGGAAATACACAAGTTTATATTTAATAATTTTACTCACCATTACAACCTGGAAAGCTGACAAACAAATCATTATCGAGTTTGATACAAATAGCATTAACGCAATGTTTGTAAAAAGGCTTTCAATATTTTCCGATAAACGTATAATCTTTTTATGTTTTTGAATAATTTTAGCCATTGCGATAGCGATCGTGTCATTTTTGCTATCAACTTTGGAGGGTGCAAGCTGCGTTAACCAGCAACGCACAATATTGATTTGGCCAGCTACATGAAAGGTCTGAAAATAAAGATCCCATTCCTGTGGAATTAACCAGAATCCATAACTGAGTTGATGTTCAAAAAATACAAGGAAATGCATATTGTGTATGTCACAGAATGACATTTTTGAAATACATGGAAATGGTAAATCGAGTAACATAAATAATTTATTTCAAATTTTAGATCTATTATGAGCTTTTAAAAGGCATGCAACGCAATTACTGTATAAATAAAATATCATTCAAATCATATTTTTGATCTTGAATATCGTTTCCATATCTTTAACTTACTAGAATTAATAATAAAGAATTCATTGCACCAGATGACCAGGCCCACATAAACATACAAAAGAATTCCGTCATAACAATACATTTGTATGTGCGTTGCGTGTCTATGTCGAAGGGAATTTCTATCTTAGTCATGAAGGGTAACTCCGTTGTATTAGTGACATCGACGTCGGCCAGAAGGACACCAATGCCGAAGGTAGACACTGTTATTGTATGAAGAATGAGTATTAAATTTGTAATACGTTCCGACGCTTTTGCTTCGCTCGTTGTCTCGCGTGTGCTGATGGCGTCATTAGCGCAATCACTCCAATCCTCCCGCATTATTGTCAAGACTTCGATGAATTTTCTATGAATGATGGTCGCCGATCATATTGTCAATTTTAAAACAATCTTAATTTTCGCGCCGTGCGTGACCACGTTTTTGGACATTTACTATTTCTGAATGTAATATATATATAAATCAACACTTTGTATATTCCATCCAGCGAAACTTGATGGAATACTTTTGTAAATTGTTTCCAACTTTGTGCATATACACGTTACTTACCGCTGATTTATCCAAAACACAACGCACTTAAAAAGCACCTTGGAATGTGCCAAGACGATAGATAGACAATCCATGAATTCCCCAAGTGTGGCGGTATACATATGTCTTATGAAATAAAGGTAGTGACAGTACTGAGCAATTGTCACTGATACAATAAAAAACATTCTCCAGAACAGAGCACATGATGCTCCTGGCCAAGCACCGCTCAAAATAAAAAAAAATTTTGCCGTGCGATTAAGCGGGTTCTGACGAACCATAATTGTCTATCTCTTTTTACGCTTGCCTGTATAAATGAGTCGAAATATATGACAGAGAATAGATTGAAAATCTTTGGTGTAAGGCAAATAAATACGGTCCAACGAAATACGTATCTTTCGACGGATACTTCGATAAAATATAGTTTGTTTTGATGGAAATTATACACTATAGAATATCTACTTGAGACTGAGAAGTAAAGAGAGAAATCTAAAAGATCACCAAACAGATATATTCTTCAGCAACTGATCAATAAAATATACTCATTAAATAATTTTACCGTACTTCGTGTAGACCGCCGTACATCTGTCGTGAGTCTTGACAATTTCAACAAAAAGAAGGGAGCAGGTGAAGTCATCTCTCTCTTCGTCGAAGGCCGATGATGCGGTAGCAAATTGCTCGCTTTAAATAAGTAATGATACCGCGTGGGCATAGATACGATTTATGCAAATCGAGAACAGTGAGCTTTAGAAACATTGTAAAATACAAAGGGCGAAAAGAATAAACAGAAAATTAAATTTCTGCGTATCTGTATATATATCTATCTTTGCGTATAATATTCTTACGCTGCGAAATGTAGATTTAAGGGAAGATTCACGATTTATATTTCCATAAGAAACCAAGATATAGCATAGCACAGAGAGCAGTATAGTTTACTGTAGTTTTTATCATATTATATTTCACGTATATTATTTTTTTCATGGAACAATATTTGAAAAAATACGCAATATTCCAATATGTGTTAGTGTAACATAGTGAAGGCATATTTACATATTGCTTTTGTATACGCTTCACGACTATTGAATAACAGTTATCAAGATGATGTTTATTACATCATTTAAACATCACTGTAGGATCTCGAAGCATATTTTTGTTGTAAACAATATTGTTTGCATTATGAAGTTTCAATAATTGCTTTTAGCTTAATTTATATATGTATTACATGGGCTAAAAGTTTCTGGAATTGGATACAAAATAGCATCATATACAAAAATTAATCTTATAACTTGTTGAATATATTCCTTCAAGCCTCCGCTGTTAAAATTTCATGACATTTCACCGAATAGTTT